TCCCAATTAATGAGGATCGAAAAATAATGATAGATGCTTGAGTATATTAGGAAGCATTAGTCAGATCCATGATCTAAGTGTGTTATGGAAGCAGGGCTTCTGCACAAAAAGTTGATGTTTAACGCTAAAACGGATACGATTTCGGTAATATCCTTTTCTCTCTTTCTCTTCCTCTCTCCCTTGCAATAAATTTAAAGGGCATAACATATACTTTAGAGCAGTGATTCCCAAACTGTACGCTGCGGCCTCTTTACAGGGGCGCGGCGAAATATTATAAAAGCTTCATAACTAATTTAACCCAGACATTTGGCCTAACTAAACAAAAACGTGAAAGAAAACGCTGCGTCTTCTTGATCGCGCCATATAATCGCACTAGATGCGTCGAGGTGCGTAGAACCTTCACGACAGATTGGTAATGTTCTGGAAGATCTTGTGGAAAGTATATAAACAAGCGTTGCCGGCTCGATTCAGTCAGTCGACTTATAATTCGAGTCTAGTGAATTTAAACTCAGCGCTTCATATATAAATAAACAGTGAAAGAAATTAGTAATTGAGTCCATATTGTAATGTAGTTAGTGTTATATTACTTCTTGTTTATTGTCCTTGATAAATTGGAATTGACACAATTTTGGACTTCAATAAAAGATGAATATCCTTTTCTAAGTGATAAGGCTTAGCGGATTCTAATTTCATTTTCGACGTATTTGTGCAAAGCTGGGTTTTCGGCGTTCGCTGTAATAGAAAGCAAGTATAGAGCAAAAAGCAACATAGAAAAGGAAATGAGGGGGGCCGTGTTCAGTTTAATTCCACGATTTGAAAAAATGTGCAGTGATTAGCAGGCTCATCCATCACATTAATTATTAAATATTAATTTACTGTTAATAAAGTAAAAAAAATAATGAGGATACACGAGTTTTATTTATTTTAATCTCTTAATTACGAATAGCCATGAAAAAATTTTAATTGAAAAAGGTCGCCGCGACTAGGAAAAGTTTAGGAACCACTACTTTAGAGATATAAATGCAAGCTAGCCGAGAAGTTCTAGGGGTGCGAAGCATAAACGCTTAACTTTCAAAGCCATTTGACTACGGTAGTTGTGATGACGTTGTTTGCATGCCAGTTTACTTGCCACTCGCCAATATCAAACTTGCAAGTCTCCTTATTTGACATATCGTATGCCAAAGAGGGCTAAGACGGAGAATAGGGAAAGGGTCTTTCATAGATCATGCTGAAGTCCTAAGTACAGAATATTTAACATGAGGGAAAAAAGAAATTGGTCCAGACTCCAATCGGTACACTGACCAAATGGACATCTAAACAATTTGATGAATGTATTAAACTATCTCACTCGTCCTGACTCTCAAAGGGCTTTTGAAATCATTAAGCAATTATGCGGTTCAGGCTCATTTTAAACTCGCCTGCCGAAATATAGTTTAGTCGGAGTTATAGGCCACATTCGATTTTCATTTTGTCTCCAGTTTCCGCCGCGTCTATCCTGCTGCTATCCGTAATACCAAGTCTTCCTTTTACTCAACTATGTTTTTAATATTGCTCTGCTCATACTTTGTGCTATCTCGTTTTCGCACTTATATTATTTCTACTACTATGAATTTTCAGCGACCTCCTCTCTTTCTTCGTGGACTGATACCTCTCTGTTCCTGGCAGTACGAGCGTCAGTTCAACACAACTCGAATTCCGATGCCCGAAAAAGACGTGATTGTTCATTGGACCAGTTCTTATCACATCTCGGTTTACCACAAGGGTCGTTACTTTAAATGCCCACTTATGCATCAAGGTCGGCAACTTCTTCCTGCTGAGTTGGAAATGTGAGTTTGAGATAGTTAGAATTTTATTATATTTAAATATGATTTTCAACTTTACCGAAAGGTTTTATTAAACTTTAGCAATTATTCTGCGTATGAACTATCATCTTTATTCATTTCTTACTTATTTCCCTATAATTCTAAAATGTAGAATGTTCCAATCCATACTTGATGAAACCAGCTTGCCGGCCCCTGGTGAAGAACACTTGGCTGCTATGACTGCATCGCCTCGTGACATTTGGGCGGCAACACGCGCCACTTACTTAGCTTCAGATATAAATAGGAAGACTTTGGAGGCAGTTGAAAAAGTTAGCTACTTTTATTGCGATGAAACCACTAATTTCTCCCTTTTCTCAACTAGTAACTTATATTTGTTTATCCATTTATGGGTCTGCCTGTATCCATTATTATCAGATCCATTCACTTATCTAGAAAATCTACTGAATTATTGTCTACCTACCCATCAAAACAAGGGAGTGGTTAATTTATACTATATCCTATTTTTGTAACATTCTTTTGCATTATAATCAGTGTAACTTAAAAATTAGACCTAACCCTTTTAGTCCAACTATGGATTTTCTCTACAGACTCGCAAAGGCTATTCACGGATAATAAGCCAAAGCATCATCGTAAATTAGTTCATTTATTTATAAACAACTCGTGGATTTGTATGTAGTAGAAACAGTTGGGTGAGCAGACAGATAGCAATCACTCCGGCTGTAGGCCTCAGCAGCTGCGAACACTCAAAGTGCATACAAGTATCATCATATAAAAGACCCCTAAGCAGCTGCAGCTTAATTGTGGGCATTTTGGGATTAAGTAAATTACTAAGACCTAAGGTCATCTTAAACATGAGTTTGTTTGAAAAGATATCGGTTTTTCGAAGATATCTTGACTTGATATGAATTAATTATTCTTTATTAACACTTAACTTTAGTTATCACTCTGGATATCGCTGTTTCAAACAACGCAAATCATTAAGTCTAATATAGTCCTAGAATATATCTTCTTTACTATTAAGTCATTCGTTATAGTAAATTGTATGCAAAGAGCCATAACAATTAAGCAGATAATAAATTAACTTAACTTTGAAAAATGGTGTTGCTCCCCCTCACAGATGCACTGTAAAATCGTTAATGTCATGCTAGTGAGCTGGGAAGTCCTGCCACACCCATCATACATCCCTTATTCGGCAAACTCCAAGTTCTCTTAATTTGTTTATATAAATGATTCTATCTATGACGTATTGTTCAGTTATGAAAATTCAAATATTCACACTTAGCCCTTTTTAAGACAAATTGTAGAAATAAACGAAATTATTCTTGAGAGTTTGGTAAAGTGGATCTATTAGTTAAATAAGTTTTTCATTGATTTTCTAAAGGCATTCGATTTTATAACTTGGAAGAATGTTGCTTTTCATCGACCAGTATGTGTTGTTAACAGGCGCCATTTTACTTAAATTATCAGTGCCTCTTTAGCTTGAGCAGATTGTGTGATTTTGCATGGTTATCTCTCGGAACTATGCTTCCAAGATATATTTCTTCATCCACGCTTCACTGCGCTTTTGGTTTCGCCTTCGTCTTGCTGGCACCCAACTGGATTCGAACCGTGTTCATGCAGATTCAAAGTGAAAATATTAAACTACACTACACTAGTCCTGATTTACATGATAAGTTTACTTTCAAGGTAAACGGGTCTCAACGCACTTTTTGAT